TGCCGTTCATGCCATCGTGGAGTTCCCTCACAATGACGATGAATTTTTGTGGGCAGCCAAAATGGGTGAGGGTCCACCAGAGGGCTTCCCTGTTGACCGAGTCGAAGGCCTTGGTTAGGTCGATGAAAGCCATGTACAGGTCACGACGTTATTCTCTGCACTTTTCCTGTAGGTGACGGGCAGCAAAGATCATGTCAGTGGTACCTCATGATGGTCTAAAGCCACATTGAGATTCTGGGAGGAAGTTTTTCGCCTCAGGAAGAAGTCTGTTTAGGAGGATTCGGGCGATAATTTTGCCAGCTATGGACAGCAGAGAGATCCCACGGTAGTTCACAGTCTGACCGGTCTCCCTTGTTCTTATAAATATTGATGATGGCAACATCTTTATCAGCTTGGGGTATTTCCTCCTTTTCCCATACACAGTAATATCTTCGTTAGCTGGAATCCCTCAAACCCTGAAATCTCCGATAGCCAAAATTGAAATTTACTCGGATACTCATTCTCAAAAAATTTCCGGCTTTAGGAACAAATTTTCCAAGGTTGAAAATCAAGAGAATTTTCTGAAAATGTCTTGAATAGAGATGAAAAATAAAGTATTTTTTTTTTTTTTGGGGGGGTGGGAGGGACCTGACCTGACTCAATGTCAGGTGGAGGTAGGGTGGGGGATTAGTGGTCTCATATTACTGATCTTCTGATGGAATGTCAGATCACCCTTTCTTGGGTGGGGAATTAGTGGGTCTCTTGACCTGAAGATGTCTTGAATAAACACGAAACCTTAAGTATTTTTAGGGAGATTGTGATAAGTATAAGTGTAATGATTGTTTATCAGACCACAGCTTACAGCCCAGAGAAATACAACACATATAACAGTAAGTAGATGCCCACGTGGTAACCCACATAGGTTGACACACCCTACAGTGACAGTAAGACCTGGCCCAAGAGAGGTCACGGACAAGGTAATTGAGTTAACAACCGTGTTACTCAAGAAACTACACCTGGGCAAACACCTGCTGTCCAGACCTGACCCAAGGAGAGGTCACGGTCTCATTGACTCCGAGTCCTCACCGCCATGCGATTAGCATAACCCGGCGACATGACCGTGTTAAAGAATCCACACCCAGCCAAGACACACCCGGGTGGTAATAATTAGTAAGCATTACCGACCGGCGACATGACCACGCACCTGGACAAACACAGATTTAACCAGTTTAGTATTAATTAGGAGAGGTCATCTGCCGGCTCTCCTCCAATATAAAGGCCCTGCAGCTCCTTCCAAGGGGCATTAGTTTCACATCACTGAAGGCAGAAGACAGAGTCACGCTCGTGACTAGTCGAGGTCGGGAGGGAGACTTCCCTCCTCAGCACCGCGTCTCCAGCTAGCAGAGTCTCCCATAGGAGACATAGTCCAGCAGCACCCGCGAGGCCTCCCTTAAGTCACACGTGGATCATTGTCAGAGCTATCCATAGGGTGAGTTACTTAAGGTGGGAAGTGTATCCATTTTGTTTGTGTCCGAGAGTCAGTGTCAAGTAACGTAAATATAATGTTCTAGTAACTTCGATATAATGTTCTATTAAGCGTCTGTGTCACTGAGTGAATAATAAATAGCTGTACTTATAATTGGTGTTTAGAAAGATTTCCCCTAAGAACGTAATTACAGTTAAATAACTAACCGGCCACGCTACCAAACTTTCTCACTTTACTTCCTACAACTATAAACATTCTACCTAAATCCCCCTCATTATATAAGTATAAATGCGCAAAGTTGTATCCCTTCAACTTTACATTACATATCATTTTAAAAAGCAGAAATGTGTGGAAGATTAGATGTGGAGTGGAAAGGAGTTGTAACATGCACCAGTGTTGCCAAGCGATAAGCTCCTCAACAACTGATCTTTTAATTCGCCTCTTTGCAGTCACACAACAAAACCCTCGCTGGATGCTTGTTGTCTTAATTTCTGTGTGTGTGTGTGTGTGTGTGTGTGTTTTGAGCTTGCCAAGCACATTGTAGGATTCGAAGTTGATGAAGAGTTTGTTCAGGAGTCAGGTGGTTACATGCCAAGACACTTACACAGCACACACATTAACAGCACTACTAAACCATTGTCTTATAACATTTTACCAGTGTTGTACGCATCAAAGAAAAAAAGTGGCGCCGCCAGCGTCAGCGTAAACAGCCGAGATATTTGATGCCGTCAGCGTCGGCATAAACGATTTCATAAATTGATGCCGTCAGCGTCAACGAGTTTTCAGTGGCGTACAAATGCAGCCCCGAAACGCGTATTTTCCTGTGTATGGGAGTAACATATGCAAAATAAAAAATATTCATTCATTTTTAATCATTTATGATTTATATAATATTTTAACTATTCATCTGTTCCCCAGCAAGAATATTAGCATCTCAAAATGCTTGTCGCTCATTCTGCTGCGCTTGGGCCTCAAGACTTCCTTGCCCATGGAGAACATGCACCCCACGGCAGCACTAGAGGGGATGGGGGTGTTGTATTTGGTGAACAACTCCTTCATGGCCTTGTCGGTCGTCTTTATAACAAGATAATTGAAAATCGAACTTGGAAAATCAAAGTTTAGAAGTTGACGAACAAATTGACGCTTGACGCTGCGCTCGGGTGAAAAGTTGACTGCGTCACTTGTAGTGTCACCTGCCCAAAAAATTGATGGTGTCAGCGTTAACAAAAAGTTGCCGCCGTCCATTGATGGCATTAAATTAACGGCGTCAAAGTACAACACTGCATTTTACATTATAATTTATATTTTAAAATTAACTGATACATGATAGCTCGACAGGGCTAATTTTGCACTATGACAACTGATCAATGAATAAACCAGGACATATGGAGACTCATTATATATTAGTGATGTTACAAAGCTTTGAAACTACAACCACAAATTATCACATCCTGGTCTTATGACCTGAATGTCTTGAATGACATTATTTTGTAGCTATAAGGAATATACAGTACATAGTACTATACTGTATTGTAAATGAAGGGCACATGTATTAATAAGCACAGATTATTACAGTAACATACCTTTATTAATTAATGAAAAACAAATAAATATAATTGTACTGAACGTATCATGAATGAGTCAGTACTTTAGACAAACAGTGAGGGGAGGGGGGTGGGTCTGTCACCTTCCCCCAATGGATCATTCAACCTCTTACAAGTTCACAATGAGAGATTAACCTTATAAAATGTCATTGACTTGACTTCCGAGAATATAATTTGCATTGCTGGAATTCTTGTAAGATAGCAATTAATTTGAGTACAGTATAAACATCCTTTATTTTGCACCACACACACACACACACACACATGGGAATTAAGACAACAAGCAGCCAGTGAGGGTCTTGTTGTATGACTACATGGAGGTGAACTAAAAGATCAGCTGTTGAGGAGCTTATTGCTTGGCAACACCGGTGTATGTTACCACTTCTTTCCACTCCATCTCTCTAATCACCCGCACCTTTCTGCTTTCTCACTCCATATTTAAAAATGTTATGTAATGTAATGTTGCAGGGTTACAACTTTGCTCATTTATACTCACACTTATCACAATTTCCTTAAAAATACTTAGGTTTTGTGTTTATTCAAAACATCTTCATGTCATGAGACCCACTAATCCCCACCCAAGAAAGGGTGACCTGACATTCCCAGAAGGTCCGTAATATGAGGCCACTAATCCCCCACCCTACGTCCACCTGACATTTTTTTCAGGTCAGGTCAGGTGCCCCTCAAAATACTTTAACTTTCATCTTTATTCAAGGCATTTTCAGAAAATTCTTTTGATTTTTAACCTTGGAAAATTTGTCCAGATAGCTGGGAATTTTTGGAAAATTCCGGCTTTGGGCATGATTTTCTGAGCAAATTTAAATTTCAGCTATCAAAGATTTCCGGGTTTGAGGGATTCCGGCTAACAGAGATATTACTGTGTACAATAGCATAGTTTTTGTAAACAATTTTTTTATTGTTTTATCATTTATAAAGGTTAAAAATTATTTTTGGAAAAGTTGATTTTTCTCGACTTACCCCGCGTGGGGGATACGGCCTGTGACACCCTAGCCCGGGGCATAGGGGGTAACAAAGCATTCTTGGCTGACTGTGTCCTGGTACAGTAATGTACAGTACTGCACAACACAAATTGTATGCAAAAACAGCAGCTAACGAGGGATCAACCTTGTACAATGGCAGCAGAATATGAATTAATCACACAAGTCATCCAATTTGCTCAACCTGTTAAAAATCTAAATTTAATAATTATAAGAGATATAGGCAGCTTGATGAAATGAGTCTGAGTATAGGTCTTTCATCAAAAGTGAGAGAATTTTTTTTACCCAAGACCTTTATATGAATATTTTATATATTAAAGTTAATTCTTCTTAATCTAAAAAAATAAAATAAATAAATAAAAATAAACTAACAAGGGGTGGCCTTAATGTCTACCTGGGACAGCAAACCCTCACATTACACCAAATTCTAAGAGGTAGCCACTCAAGGAACATTCCTATAGTCTGAACAATCTAGCACAGTTGTATATGAAAAGTAAAAAGTAAAAAAAAAAAAGTAAAATGGTTATGGACATATGGATGGCTAATTAAAGCAAGTAAGCAACAGTTCATTTTGACAAAAATTTACCATTTAGTCACTGCTTAAACAAATAAGTCAAACTTATAATACCATGTAAAACGCTACTTGAAGGAACCAAGAACAAACACAGGATTGGCATTATTTGTAGTTATCCATTTACTCTTACAGCTGTAAAGTCCCCACCAACCACACAGCACCATTATCTCCCATTATCTTGCACATTACTGCATTTGGATGTCCAAATCCATCACACCTCATTTCAACTGTGTCACTCATATCCATCCTTCCATGTTCTTGGTCCTCCTCCCACAGTGCTCTGAAATAATCACTACAGTATTTCTACATTTGGACAATAACAAATGGTTACCTTAACATTTTGACTTCTTAATACTCACCTTGAAATTTGGCTTCTTTCTCGTCTTTTTCTTACCAAACACACAAACATACGGCTCAGTATCCAGGATGTGGACGCGGGCATTCTTAGCCGTTTCATTAAGCAGGGAGATGGGTAGTGTCGTTTTCCTCATTACAACCTGTTGATAATATGTAACTAAACAACAGAACCAAAAGACATACACGGCCATTTTTTTAAACATTCGGGTTACTTATTAGTATCCCGAAAGTGCCCTCCGAGCCTAATAAATTTTTAAACCAAATTTTGTTGGGTTACCATTTGGTAGTCCGACAATATTATTGGAAAGTTCGGAATAAGTCCTCGGGTGTGGGTAGGCACCCGAAAGACTTATCCCGAATGTTCAAAATAGTTATATATGAATAGAAAATGTCTCTGAAATACAATATATGTAAATTAAGATGAGATAATAAAGAAAACAAATATTTAAATGTCCTAATAACCAATTCCAATGGAAATGTGTATACAGTCACGCGCCGGTTAACGTCCTGGATACGTTCTTGGAAACGTGACGTTAACCGAAATAGACGCTGTCCGATTGTCACATAAACTTTTTATTTATACTTACGTGTATGTGGAATGCTACTGTATATACGTACATATACACTTTTACTCTTAAATCACTACTGTAATGTGATACAGGTGATTAATTTTTATCTCTTGTGCAAAATACATGACGTTTATATTAAAATTATTCACTGTTTTACAAGGATTCCAGCAACGCCAAGCAGATAGGGGAGAGAGAGGGTGGGAGCGAGCGAGGGGGCGTGGGGGGAGGGGAGGTAGTACGTTTGACAGTTGGCACAGGCCCAGGTATAACGTGTGTATATTTATCAGTTCTTAGGTGACTAAGCTTCTCTCTTATAAAAAGCCAGTGAAATGACCTGGGTGAATATAATTAACATAGCTGGGATTCTTGTAAGATACTGATTTATTTGAATATAAACATGTTGTAATTCGCACTAGACATAACAATTTTAGTACCATAATCAAATTAGTAAATGTGCTTTCCAGCTTTGCACTAAGGTCATTTATTTATTTTACGTTTCTTTTAGTATGGTGTGTGCATGTAAATGAATTTAAATAAATGAAGAAATTAATGTAAATTTACCCAAAAATACAGTTGAAAAACTTTTTATAAAATGTACTACAGTACTGTACACTAATGTACTACATTTTTTATATCTTGAGTAAAATATATGATGCTTATATTCAAATTAATCTCTGTCTTGCAAGGATTTCAGCAATGGAAATTATATTATCCTAACTTTAGTCTGAGATATTATATAAAATAAATATAAAGACAGGGGGAGGTGAGGTGAGGTGACAGAATGTCTGGCGTTTGTTTGTTTATTTATTTGATAAGATTTGACAGTTGGCGCTGAAGTCCTGCCTGCGTGTTTATTTATCATTACAGTGAGTTCTGCTATAACGCGTGTTTTGACAACGCGAATTGGCTCTAACGCGATTGATGAATAGAGGAACAATATTTGTAAAACGCGAACGCGTTTGCTCTAACTCGATTCCACTCGAACGGTTGTTATGGCTTGGCGCGGGGTTATGCAGTGTTTTACAGTTCACGTTTGACATCACATGTTCAACTGAGTTATGTGTTTTGTTTGTGAAGAATTGCAGAAATAATTTATGTAATACAGTATTACCCCGCTTTACGCGGTTTCACATTACGCGGTTTCTCATATACGCTGTGCCTCGCCAGAACCGAACATTCACTTTCCGCGGTTCATCTACCCATATACGCGTGAAGTATAAATTGTTTTTTTATTTAGCTCATAAAATTCATACAATTTATCCAGCCAGAATATAATTTACATTGCTGGAATTCTTACAATTTGATGATCATTTTGAATATAAACATCATAGATTTTGCATTAGACATACAAATTTTAGATCTAATGTTTACTCTGAGTAAATATGTTATCTTTTGTGCAAAATATATGACATTTATATTCAAAATATTCCTGGTCTTACAAGGAATCCAGCAATGTCAATTATATTATCCTAACTTTAGTCTGAGGTATTATTACTAAAAAGGTAAATATTCTGGTTTTCCCACACATTTATCACGTAGGGAGGGTTGGTGGGGGGTGGGGGGGAGGGAGGGACCGACCGACCATCTGACACGGTGTAAAGAATATTTTTTTTTTTATTAACTGAAGATATTTGTTTTAGCTCATAAAATTCATACAAATTACCCGGCCAGAATATAATTTACATTGCTGGAATTCTTACAATTTGATGATCATTTTGAATATAAACATCATAGATTTTGCATTAGACATACAAATTTTAGATCTAATGTTTACTCTGAGTAAATATGTTATCTTTTGTGCAAAATATATGACATTTATATTCAAAATGTTCTTGGTCTTACAAGGAATCCAGCAATGTCAATTATATTATCCTAACTTTAGTCTGAGGTATTATTTGTTACTAAAAGTTAAAATTAGTTTTTTTCACCCAAGATTTCTCTGGTAGGGAGGGAAGGTGGGGGGGGAGGGAGGGTTGGGACTGACCGACCATCTGGCGCGGTTGGAAGAGGGGGGAGGCAAGTTGGGGTACTTTGATTGACAGATAGTGTCGTGAAGAATATTTTTTTGTTTATTAACTGAAGATATTTGTTTTAGCTCATAAAATTAATACAAATTACTGGACCAGAATATAATTTACATTGCTGGAATTCTTACAATATGATGATCATTTTGAATATAAACATCATGGATTTTGCATTAGACATACAAATTTTAGATCTAATGTAATAATTTGGTTTACACAAAGCAAGTATTTTATCTTTTGTGCAAAATATATGAAGTTTACATTCAAAATATTCCCTGACCTGCAAGGAATCCAGAAATGTCAATTATATTATCCTAACTTTAGTCTGCGGTATTATTTATTACTAAACGTTAAAATCTAGTGTTTCACCCAATCATTTCTCAGAGAGGTAGGGGCCAGTGAGCTGGGAAGAGGGGGGGGGGGACTTGAGTATTATTTGAATGGACATTAACCTGGCGACTGTATTTCTCTTAAATATTAATTGTGTGAGCATACCATCATAAAATTTAGATGTTATTTTTACTACAACATAGGTAATGTGTTGGAAAAAGTGGAGTTTGGGGGTCGGGCCAGTCTCTATTGGAATTAATCCCATATGTTCTGTTGTTCCATTTACGTGGAGTTCACTTTCCGCGGTACACCTGTGGGTTCAATTGACCACGTAAATCGGGGTACTACTGTATTTATGTATACAGTATACCTGTACATGTAAATTGTAAAATTTTAAATAAAAGAGAAAATCAAATTACGTAGCGTTTTACACCTAAGCTGTTTACATCACACTGTTTACAGTTCACGTTCGACATCACATGTTCAATTGAGTTATGTGTTTTGTTTGTGAAGAATTGCAGAAATAATTTATGTAATATTTATGTATACAGTAAACCACTCACAAGGTCCTACCACTAATTATTTTATACTGAAACTTACGTTTGGGAAGCTGGATTAAAATGAAGATTACCGGTACAGTATATTAAAATAATAAAAATGTATTATAAACCTGTCTAACATACCGTAAAAGAACAATATACCCCGGTAATAAACACAGCTGCTATCATCACCACCCTCCCATTTGCCAGTGACAAGAAAGGGAAAGTGACCTTGACTGTGACCGCCTGTGGCTATTTTTAGCCGTCCTTGTGTTCGGAGGTGGTCAGTAATGCATATCTGTATATTTACTGATGATAATACTTATCTCCTATAAATAATTCATTTAAAATTTATTTTTTTACAAAGAATATTCAGTAAATGACTGCGTTAATTCTTGAAACTACCGACAGTGGTAAATTTAGGATATAAATGATGAACAGAAGTCACGTCATGGATTCGGAGTTTGGTCCTTAATGATCACCATAAATGTCTGGTCAACTTCACCTACCAGGTATAATGGTAGCCTCCCTTTTTTGCGAAACAAGTATATAATTAAAGAAAATACTTGCAGTGTGTTTAATATATTACAGTATATTATAAATAAATAAATAAACAAATAAATCGGCAAATCTATTTCAAGTAAATGGAAATATTTTACTCACACCGACATTAGTTCCAGTTAAATAACTGACGCTTAAGTGAGTCACAAGTGTTTACACTACTGTACACCAGCCAGTAAAATTTGATGCCAATACTTTAAGTGAATTGGCCTTATTTTAAATAGCCAACCATAAATAAATGAAAAAGGAAAAAAGATCAAAGGTGAGAAAAATTATATTGTATGTATGTTGTGTTGTCAAAGGAAGAGAAGCAATTGAAACTCTGCAATTGTGTGTAAATGAGGCAGAAAGATAGATCAGCAACCTAAGACTTGGTCACAATTTTCGTGATGCCATATGGAAGTAGGATCTACCATTAGACAATACTGTACATTATGCTTCCAATATCTTCCCAGGTGGTAGTATCTCCCTGTTTGGTAGCTGCCTACAACTTTTAGTAATATTACTTTGATACAACATGATAAATTAGACAAACAATGAAAATAAACAAAAAAAGTTATTTACCAAGACCTTCTCTCTGAGAACAGAGGGTAAGAGATGGAGGGGAGATAAGACGGCTATTTATAGCCATCTTTGTGTCGGAAGGAGGAAGGAAGTGGCCGCACTAAATAATTCATTTAAAATTTATATTTTTTACATAGAATATTTAGTACATGACTGCGATTATAAAATAGGCCGAGATAATGTGTGTGTGATGTAAACAGAGCGCTTGGCCTCTCTCTGTGTATGGGTGGAATTCGTGGTTTACAGTGAGTGATACAAATGTCGTAACGCTACTAGGCTGAAGGCGCCTGAATACTACTTAAACACATCAAAACTATGTTAATTGATCACTGTATAATAAATTCATTCACTCATAATTTCAAATTCCCTTATCATCCTGTGTTATATACAGAAATACTTGAGTCCCTGAGCGAGTACACAAAAAGAAAACAGAGGACTAAGACATCCTGAGGTGGATAGAGAACGGACAACTCTACTGGGGGACTCAAACGTTTCTTATGTTTTGTGGGCACTGTAGCATAATATGAATAATATGTAAATTACAACTTACTTA